CGAAATTCTGACAAATTTTGAAACCCGTCGTAACTGAAATTATGTCGAAATTCTAATTAATAATTAGTGTGTAACCCGTCGAAATTATGATGATATTTTTCTGAAAGGATTTAGGCAAGCATCCTTAGTGCTGGCCAATGAACTCTTTTAATCATGCCACTATCTCATTATGGTCGCCGTGATCAATAGCAAGCTGGGTTGCATGTCGCGCCAGTTTTCACACCTCTCCATATTTGACTTTTCGTTGTGCTGCATGACATAAAACACACGTCACGGACTTGGATATAGTCGAGGGATTTGGCATTAGTATTTCATTCAGTTGATTCTTTGCCGATTCTTGATTCGCAAAACAGCAGGCACTTGTAATTATATCCTTGTCTTTTTGTTCATCATTATACCACCAAACAGGTACTATTTGAATATGAAATCCTACGACTTTTGAATACATCATCACCCAGAAATAATGGCGACAGATGATGCCACGAGATATGTTTGACATGCACGAACATAGGTAAGAAATAGAATCAACCACTATCATGAAATGCGAGTGTTTGCTATTTCCGGGTCGCATGTCTTTAATTTTTCACACTTCTCGAACATTTTCTTCGCCAACTTCAGCAATTATTGATTTCAATAGAATTTGTTTGGCATCATATGAATTCTCAATGAATCCATCCATCACGATAAGATTGGAATCCTAAACATAATAAAGTGTTAGATTATATTCAAATGACTTCGAATATTTGTATTTGATTTGATTTACCTCATCATTATTATTCGCAATATTCATTTGACTTGCAATGAAATATAGGCATTGCGATATTTCCAGACGTTCCACAGACAATATGTGGAGAGTGAGATATTTGGATATTTTTTTGTCGATTTCAGAAAAAAGATCGTGATCCACTGACACAATTCCCATACAAGATGACATAGTCTGGTATTCAAAAAACTGATTCCACTGTACCTCATCTTGGAGTCTTGCATCGAATGCATCAACAAGATCACACAAACTACTACTTGCTGTTAATAGGCGTTTGACAATGCTGTTGAGACCTTTGACACGAGAGGTAGTTTGAATTCCCACTGTGAATATTTTTGATGTAAATGCACATGCCCACGCTTGTCAGCTGGGATAAAGCGCTCTCATCAGGTAATCTTTAACGTTTGAGTACTTTTCGGTAAGTTGTGACCATCGTTCATAGAAACTTTCTTCACACAGGCTGTTGTGGCATAGGAAAAAGTCATGGACAAAGCTTTCATATTGGCTATGAAGCTTAGATTTGAGATTTTTTGGTAGGTTTTCACTAATATGAAAAATGCAGTGAACTGAATAGGTGTTTTGATATATTTGTCTGACGGTGGCATCTGCTGCAGGATCTGCATCTGTAACGAATACTAATGACTCAATCATTATTGCTTTTTTTGTGCATTCCAGGATCTATTTATAGGACTCTGTTGTTTCGTCTGACACGAGAGCTTGTGCGACAAGATGTGACCAGTATTGTTGTCCACAACGAGAAAAAGTGAAAGTGACATTTGATAATGGTTGGTTTTGGCGGTGTTGTCATTTAAAATGACATCGTAATACTCTAACCAAAGAACAATCTGCTCTGGGAACATCCAAAATAAATGGATAAGTCAGTTTTCATTGTCCAGCTCGAACTCAATGGCCCATTGATGATCGTATGATTTGTGTTCAAGGAGTGTTATTAGCAGACGAGATGCATCCAGCTTTTCATCAGTATGGATTTTGAATTTTTGTATGGCGTTTGAAAGATCGCGGTCAAGAATAGATTCAGTTGGAAATTTTGCCTTCAATAACTTTTTTTGAGTGCCAATTGAT